CGAACAGCTAGCTTGTGGTATTTGGGGACTACACGTATTGGGGCGAAATTCCCCATGTCTCATGTATTTAACCAAATCTCCCTCCTTGACCAAAGTTACACAACGAAGATATAACAATATCGAGTACAATAAAAATCTCCATATATCTCGATAATTAGCACAAGACTCAACTAAGGTAGGTGTTTGATATATTGCAGTACGCATCGGGAATTTTGTCTCTTGTTTACATGTAAACAAGATGAGGTGGCAGTAATGCTGTAAACAGGATACGTGTTTTTACATGAAGCCAGCCCCACTAAGAAAAATGACATGGCAAATTTTTATACCTAAAACAGCTGAACACACCCTGCTAGTCTAATGCACTAACCCCGTTGATGACTAATGTGAAATTTGAATTCTTGTTCCCGTGACGTGACAACTGTGCTCACCTGTTCATAGAAAATTTATGTGATAGGTGCGAGCATGAGGTATAGTATAGGACATAATTGTTTAGGCAGATACGGATTTTTGTTGGTGATTGAAACAGCTGTTTCGTCGAGTGTAGCCAAAATGGTGAGCTTTTCTCTAATGTGTTATCATCGCTGTATTTCTTTGTAATTGGGCAGATGGTAGGGTCATTGTACCGCACCAGAAAGTACCTAATTCCTTCTGCCATCTTGTATCTGTATAAGAGCCAAATCCGTCCAAAAATGGAATACTGTTGTCACATCTGGGCTGGAGCTGCACAGAGCTCGTTGAGCTGTTTAGACAGGGTCCAAAATCGTGTGCGAAATCTCGTTGGGAGAGACCTGCACGCCACGTTACAACCGCTTTCTCACCGGCGCGATGTTGCTAGCCTGGCGTTACTATATCGATATTTCCACGGCAGATGCTCTGCTGAACTTCACTCCCTCGTACCACCACTCAGAACATTCCCTGCAAGAACACGCTTAGCCACCTCAACAGCAGAAAAATCACCCTTTCTTCCTCAATAGTCCATCAGTGAAGAGAAAATTTCATGCTGACAGTTTCTTCCCCAGAACCACTTCACTGTGGAACAAGCTTCCCCGTGAATGTTTCACCGCTAATTACAACCTCCAACGGTTTAAATCAATGGTGAACAAATCTCTGACCACGCAGTCATCACTGTAACCCAAAACATGTAAGTGGCTCTCACGAGCCTTGTTTTGAGGTGAATTCTGAAGTAAATAAAAAAAAAAAATATGGTGTGCCGTTATTTCCGTGATGATGCACGTTGTTTTCTTTTCACCCTAGCTGTTTATATACTAAGGTAAATTTATATTTCAGAAACACCCCTATTTCTGTAATCCTGTGCAATACGCCGTAGCTTAACCCTATCTAGACCGGGCTTTTTTGAGCAAGATTTGACCGGGGGGGGGACTCTTTTGACCCCCCCCTCAGAACTCGCTAACGGTATGTCGTATGACCACCAAATTTTCAGAGGATTGTGTACAAGTAAAAATTTATAATATCTACAATTTTTTGTCATTATGACGTAATATGACGTCATTATGACGTCATTAATGTGATTTTATTGGCCAAAACCGTCTAGATAGGCTATTTCCCTGAAAACTAAATGGTATACAACATAACTTTACCAAAAGTGTTTATGACAGAATATTAGGGTGTACTGTCTTATGTTGCCCATAGCAACATCGGTGACGTCATAAAATGACGTCATACATAAGATATCCGCCATCTTGGATCATCAATGTTGAATTTTCAAAAATAGTTTTTTTTTTCGTGATAAAGCCTAAAATACATTGTAAACATACTAAAGACCTTCATTTAAACCTTTTTTTGGAAAAACAAATGGAAGTATTGATGAAATTTTAAGGAAAATAATCTGTATATACCTGTTCTAATGATATGGTCCGCCATCTTCGATTTTGGCCAATGACGTCATCAAACTAGCATAAATTATGCATATTTAATGATAAAATTTACATAAAATTACATGGGATGTTATTAATATTAGAAACAATGAGTAACTTGACATAAAACCCATAAAATTTTATTGTTGAAACAAAAATTACTAAATTTAGCAAAAAATGCCTGTCAGAAACCCGTTGCCATGGCAACACAAAAAATCATTATCTTATTCCAATGATAGAAAATTGTTGCCAACAATATTTTAGGAAAAGTCACCAAGTTTAGTCGTTCTAGCCCTAGCCGTTCAGATGCTATGTGACATCAAAGTTGGCGCGGGCACTTTTAGCCCCCCCCCCCCCCCCCGGATCTAGATAGGGTTAAGTACTGTGTTGTATGTAACTAGGCGCGGCTTTGTAAGTAGATATTAGGTGGTTGTTGTGTATAATCGTTTGCGAGTATCTTGTGGCTTGGACTGTTTGTGTCTGTAATTGTGACTGGTTTGCTTCTACTATGATACCTTGTGAAATAAATGATATGTAGTAAATGAAATATATTGTTGTGGAAGATGACTCAAAATATAAAACTTCACGGAGAATTGTCACCTTTGGAGACTTGTTGGGGTTTGAATATTTCCTGTAGGGTTTTGATTCCATTTCTGGCCCATGTCAAGTTGATGGTCTCCTAAGTGTCCAGTTGGGAACACTGACTGGAATTCCAATACGTACATGTATGTCTACTTGTATTTAGTCGTACAGTCCGAGCCAATCCTTTCTTTAGTTTCTGAGGTGGGTTGCCCCTGCTCATACGGATTTCACACTTTTGAAGAAGCTCTTTTTTGCAGTACATTGTTTGTTATCTGTGCCTCATTCTAAAAGTCCCTCCAACTCTAGTCATTCTGTTTTGAAATCTTCCATTTCGCAACGAACCTATTTACAATTAGTACATTTGTATACTATTAGAAAGACTTTAAAGGATTTTTGTGTTTGTTCCTGAGGACGTAAATCTGCGTCGACAATCATGGTCGCCAAGGGGGAGGGGGTTGTAATATACATACAAGGTTAACACAATTGTTATAGGTCATTAGCACTAGGTCTTAAGTGATTTTGTATTTGTTGGACTTGTCCAAGACGTTGGACATATTATGGTAACTTATCATGAGTAGTTTAAGAAAACGGCGGTGTAAACCTGGATAGGGACTGCAGTAAAAAACAGAAAGAATATTTACCGGTCTTTTGTTTTTATTGTAAGTTGATCTAACCCTTTAGTATTCCAGAATAATATTAAGGAAAAAAATGCAATATCCTTGCTCCATACAAGCATGCTTAAAAACTGTGAATGATCTTCTACTTAAACCTCAGGCCACATGCACATATAGCTGAACAGTGCCTTGTGTTGATTAACTCCCAGTAGATAGCTTATAGTTTATACAGCTGATTGCTTACCAGTTTCTGAAAGACCCATTTGCCTCTGCTATAAAAACGCCACCTACATACCATGGTCTGGACAAAGTACAAAAGGTCGATCCGAGGCCACGTAAAGAAACTTTTACCGACCATTGCGATATTTGTGACCGTTGCGATGATTTAGAAACAGTCATTTGGTTGTTCACTCTATGAATTTGTCTGAGGAGTGCACTCTTTTCTTTGCTTTGCTCCAAAGTACAACTAGGATATGAATTCTATTCAATTTCAGAAAGTGAAATTTGGGTGTTCTTTCCATAAAATCATTAAAAGTTGGAACTGATTCCGCAACCCAGATGCCAGTGTCCTTCACGTGAAGCCACTTCCGGAAAGCCAAATAACAAATGGATTTTCCCTGATTTTCCCTGCCTGTAACCCTCGTCACTCCTTGAAGTTTGCACGTCGTCCGTGTTGCGTCCGTTGTCTCTGTTTGTGAGGACAATGTTGGACTTGGTACGAGCATTAGGAATACTGCAGTTCCTTCCGTCTCTCGGTTGGTCGCGGGATGCTCGGTGTACTCTTCCGTTTCTTGGCTGTTCAGGTGTGACCTTATTCCGTCTTCTCCTGTCGTAGACCCCGAGACCTACACTTGGATGGATGGCAGTCTTCCAATTACCTGCCAAGACGTTTACTCCTTCTGTGTTAAGTTGGTACCCATCAGGTCGGTAAAGGGATTGTTTGATCAGTCTACCATCTCCGAGATTGTCATTGTTTGCAATGGCAATGAAAGGGGTCTCCTGTCCAAGAATCTGAAGGAAAGAGGTTACATCGCGCGTCTCTTCCATCAAGTGATTGTTGTGGACTGTGGATATCACGATGGCTGCGCTCGGATACTTAGTGTGGGTGACAGTCACTAACTCTCTGAGGTTTTCTTTTACCCCATTTGCTGCCTTTTCTTGTCTGATGTCATTGTTCCCCACGTGCAAAACTAATATTTTGGATCAAGGTCAGCAGTGTTCTTTATCAAGGCAGAGGCCTGGGGGATAGTCATTGCTGAGTATTTTGCGACCTTCTTACCGAGGTAAAGCATAGTAGGGATTATACCCCTTGTGTTCGAGTCTTCTACTATATATTAGCTATGATTATATCTGTCTGAGACTGGTTTTTACTGGCCTGGAGACGCCGGTTTGGAGGAGTGCCTCTCTGTGGTCTGTTGACGAGATGTGGACTGGTTGTCTCAGAGCTGTTTGTTGCCTGCTCTTCTTGTGGTGTTATCTCTTCTGTTAGAGGAAGGAACCTGTTATTTTTAATAAAGCCGTTATCCAAATGAACTGTGTGCAATATACATGTATATATTTGCACTACAACGTCGATGATAATGATAAGGATTATTAATGAATGAATGACTGAGGTAGGATTTTTGTTTTTGACATTTCTTTCTCTGATGTTTCGTGGTGTAAAGGGTGAGGGTTTTAGGATTAGGCTTTTTACCCGGGTTCGAATTCGTGCCTGTGCTCTTTCGTTTTTCACTCATTGAATATATATCTTCTACTATTTTTCATGATGGTGTCGTATATTTGCAGTCACGTTCCCCCCTTAAAAAAGGTAGGACAGGTTCGGATATGTCATCGATCATTCAGCGACATAACAGCGACCGTTTCAAATGACATTCGATTGTTTAAGAGACGAAAACGCGTCCATGCTAAAATGAAATTTTTCTGTTTTCAGGCGTCCGAGATAACAGGGGCACCGAGTTCTTGCTGACATTTCTGGAAAACTTTCAGAGGCAAGGACATCAGCCCGCACTGTTCATCAGCACCCGATCTCCGACAGCGACCGTTACGATCACACTCCCTTCTACAGGCCAAACCACCACAGTTACGGCCACCAATGGGCAGGCGAGTCTTTTTCTCATTCCTACAGATACTGTCATGGTCATTGTTTCTAAGAACTCTCACTTCTTGTTTGACTATTGAGGTTTTTTGACGTACCTCTATGTTCTCCTCACATTTCCAAGCCGGGGCTCGGCCGAGTTTCTGAGACCAAAACGAACGATATAAAAGACGATAAATCACACAAAACGTTTAAAGACAACTATAAGCATAATTTATTCATATTCTTAATATGATTTCTCTAAATAGGTCGTAATAAGCATAATCTAGTTTGATTTATGGTTTTCTAAATTTAAATGATAATATTCTTAGTGTAAAATTCCCCTCCTTTGTCATACTTCATTGAAACATGTTGTTATTAATTATGCAAATGCCAGAAAGTCCCATGCAGTTCCAGAAATAGGTGCTAGGAGGACCAAGCCCACATCACTTTTTCCTGACAGGAAACGCTATCTATGAAGTGAACAAAAAGTAAAGACCATAGCTTGTTCAGGACAAAAGATAAAAATCCGGACGTTCAGCTGCAGTACCAAGGTCATCCACCAGGAGGCCCATATTTGATCTTGACCTTTGTCTTCCTAAGACTTACCAGCATACCAAATATCATCACAATCCATTAAGGCGTTCTGAAGTTATGCTGACTAAAAATGTGCGAAAACACAAACACACACACACAGACAGACACACACACACAGACAGACACACACACAGACACGCCAAAAACAATACCTCCGGTAATAATACACCCATACATAATGATTCAACTTTTCACCTACGTACCAGCACAAGGGATCGGGCTTCCAAGTTTTGCACCGGTCCTTATGGTCCATTTCTCAGGAACCGATTGTGCAAGTGACCCTCCGGAAATATGACGTGAGCAACGGGTCAAAGGTGGTTGGAAGTCTGTATCAGCCCCCGTCGTGATTAAGTCACAGTCCCTTACAATCTTTAAAAGACGATCGTCCCTTACGGAACGATTATGGGCCTAATGACGTAATGACTTGAGTTTGTTGCCGATATTTATTCATTTATTTATTCTCTGTATTATCGGTAATGTTTTTTATCTTGACAAATATTTCAAAATTCTTGAAGATTAAAAACTTTAAGAGGAAACATTCATTTACATATGACATCATTAACAACAGATCAGTACACTTTTAAATTAAAGAAACTAACTCATAGATATTCATACATTAAAAAGATACAGGATGAATCATTTCATAAATTTGTTTTAGAGGAATTTTGTTTGGTAGAAAAAATATTGTTTCAGTCTCTCCGTTCAAAATTTTGGTAGTGTGAGATGGCTTTGTTGTCTAAGAGTCTTCCAGCTATTTCTTTCCTGTCATTTGTGACCATGTAGTGCAGGGGATGGTCGCTTGTCTTCATCTGGGTTAGCAGAGTTCTCGCTGCTTCCTCCCGTCGTAACTACAGTGTGGGCAGAACTAGTGGGGCAGACTGCAAAGGAACACTAATCGACCTCCATAAAAACGGTTTTAATGGCCGAATGGAGCGGTTTTCGAGTCTACATGAAGACACAAACAAACCTGCACATGCTGAACCTCCGGTGTTTTTTTACAGGTGACAGAGGTGGACCTGAATCGAGTAGCCGTGGAGCTTCGTGGCAGCAGAAAGAGCGACAAGGCCATCCACGTCACGTCCGATGAAGAGATCGTGATGTACTTTTTTTCTTAAATCACTTTAAACAATACAACAATAACAATGTGTACCTAACTATAGACTGTCACAGGTTGACCAACATTTGGAGCTCACAGCAAAATTTGATGCTTACATAATAAGAGAATGACTTCCAAGTAGCAACATGAACACAGTAGCACAAAATACAATTGTTTTGTTATAAAAATGCTTAGAATGTACAGTTCACAGCATGTTTTAAAAGCCTTGAAAGAAGGTCTAGGAGGATCGTATGTGAAGGGCCGTATGTTGAATAATGAAAGACCGATTCATATTGACACCCACAGTTACGGAGTGTTTGCTGAATGGGCCACGTCTGATGCCTACCTGGCCCTCCCGACAGACGTGTTGGGGACCGAATACTTCGTCGCCTGTATGACGGTCCGACGCGCGTGGAGCGAAGAGGGGTGGTATAACTTGCCAACCGGTAAGAACTTTACTTCATTTTTACCTTCGTCAAGATGGTTCTCTCTCTCTCTCTCTCTCTCTCTCTCTCTCTCTCTCTCTCTCTCTCTCTCTCTCTC